AGGACAAAGGGTCCTTTTTTTTGTCAAATCCTCATTTGGAGGTCATCAGGTTGGGGAAAGATCAGAAGATGAGCCAATTAAAATGATTCAGATAAAAATCCAAACAAGATTAGGAAATTAGGCACACTCTGTAGGAATGTTAGCTGGCGTAGATTGTATGAATCTGGTCCAATGCAAGCTGTCTGAGTCAATATGATTACTAAATTTGAATAAGCTGCATTATTAATACTATTGGCTGTATTTGCTACCTTTCTATTGAGTGAGATAAGAATCATGTTTAGAGTACTTAGCATAATACATCTTATAATTTTATGTTAGTGATAGTTTTATCCAATTACCCTAGGGAAGAACAGCCTACTTCCCATAAGGCATTGCTGAAATACTATTTCCAACATTCTTATTGTTGATTATACTAGGTAGGCTGCTATGAACTATAGTTCAGCAATATGTGGGCCACAGGCTCTCCAACATCCCAGCGAGGAAGGACAGTCATAAGCAGTCATATAAATGGGATGTCAGGATTCATTCCTCCCTTGAACTCTAATGCACCATTTTATTTGTGGCAATGGCTCTTCTGTGAGTTTAGCTTGCAATTCAATGTGCTGGACAAATTTAGGCAAGAGTGTTAATTCAGTAAATGATGCTACAAGAATCCAGCCAGTGTTTTGGTTCATCCATGGTTCAGTGAGTTGGACAATACCAAAAAAAGTCAGTTTCATAAACTGTGGTTCAATTAACCACAGCTTAGTAAGCAAAACTAGTTTTGTTTCCATGGTATTGAAATACAGTAAATGTGTAGCTCTCCTGTGGGTTTGCAACCATTGTTTTATCAGGAATTGTACTCTGTTGATTTTCATCTTATGCATGGTTATTTAAAAATGCATTGAATATGATTTGTTCTATGCATTTTGCAGAGTTAGATTTATGCTTATATGGATGTGAAGTGCATTGAGGTCTTTTAATTTTGAGGAAGGATGCCTGGAAATGCAGAATGCTCTGAAAAACTGAATCATCAAGGTTTTCAATCAAAGAGTTCTGAGAAAGAGAAGGGAGAAAACCAATCTACTAGTTTAATACATGGGATGAAATTTTAAAGGAAAATAATACTTATATTAAATTAGAAGGGTAATTATAAATGTACTGGTAGTTTATTTTCTTCCTTAAGTGCTGCAGTACAGCAAATCCTCTGGCAGCCTGAGTGAGTTTCTTTAGTTCTGCATTGCACCTTTCTTTCAGGACAAAAGCTTGAGAAGAGGTATCTTAAAATGCTGCCTTCCATTCCTCTGCAATCATATCTGTTTTTTAGAACTATTCAGTTGGTCTCCATGGTAGGTAATAAACCTGTCAAGAACATCCACAATTATAGACCAGCCTGTTCAATCTGGAGTCCTCCAAATTTATTGGATTTCTTTAGGGCAGAGTTTCTCAATCTTGGCAACTTTAAGATACACGGACTTCAACTCCCAGACATCCCCAACTGGTGGTACTTAGGGAATCATGATAATACAAATCTACTGCTGTCCCCCCCCCCCCCAATGTGGAAAGCCATGTTAAAGAATGAATTATATTCCAGGTGAGAGTTTGTGTCTCTGTGTGCATATAGCCACTTATTCAGATCTGTTTGATTATGCCACCAATAGAAGAATTTGCCAGGATTGATATTCATTTGTAGGGCTGTGATCTCACCAATATTCCAGCAATGCGGCAGCACCAATCCCAGGACTGAGCTACGTTTTGCTATTGAAGTCTATATTTGATTAGGTTTGCAAAGGATACGTGGTGGTCAGGGTTGAAATAATGATTATGCATGGATTAAAATTCTTGTTTTGGTTTCTTTCGCGTGCATTTTCTTTGTGTGTTGCTTTCCTCCTTAAAAGTCCATGTTGAACTAAAATGTAGCAAAGAAAAAAAATAAAGGAAAAAAGGTACACTTTAAGGGAAAGGATTTTTTTCTTTCTAAGCTAAGGCAATGTAGGAAGGCTTAAAAAAAACAGAGTAGCAAACTTTAGAAAACAAATCTTTTTTTAAAAAAGATGTTATTATCTGTAAGGGAGCAGCATCTTATAATTCCCTCCCACTGTCTCTGTATTTTATTTTTCAGCTTGTCAAAACTTTGTGTCTTGGGTTATCACTTCTATTGTGGGTTCTCCAGTAGCACATGGATGTGGTTTACTGAGGCGTCTAGGGAGTATTCTTCCTTAAGCTGAAGAGTTTGGCTTGCTCTTTGCACATGAACTAAGCTTCTTAATTAAATCTGCACTGGTGAGAATTAAAGGCAGCCCTGTAGAGGGATCTCTTCTTCTTCCCCTGACACAGTTTCAAACAGAGATGAGGGAAAACAAGGCCTCTGATTGGGCCACAACTGCTCTCTGAAACTGTTTGCATTTTGCAGGGTTGCTTTCTTCTGCTCAATTATTTTCTCCCGGGGAGAGGGCAGGTTTTTAAAAACACAGAGGATAATGAGGAATTCTTGCCACAATGCAGTAAGCTTGGAATGCTCATCAAGTCTAATAGGCCGGGAAGAACTGGGTATACAAGCTAGATTCTTTGTACATTGTTGTTGTCTTTGTTGTTTTTAGCAAACTATATCAAAATGCACAGAAAAAATGCCATTGATCAAACATATCTTGCAATTTGTATCTCTCATTCCATGCCCCTCTCTCTGCAGCTCTTTCCTCCCTTTTTAATCCAGGAAAAAAAAAAGAATCTTTGAGCTTGAAATATAAACAGATGTCAGGTTAATCCCCGCCCCAAACTTTGCTCCTTTGGAGAGAAGATAAGCTTTTTGTAATAGATTGAATTTAATCGTGCTGCATCATATGACCTGAATAAACACTTTCTATGGGTTCATCCATATCGTTTGCAGCCTGATCGACAGCTGCTTCAGTAGCCTGTTCTTGTTATTTAAACTCCTTCTTGCCCATGTTATCTCAATCAATCAAAAACGACTTGGGCAATTTGATAATTCCATAGTGAAAGAATATTGTTAATTAACCAATCAGATCAAGTTATAATATCACAAAGCCAGTTCAGGATGATGGCACTCCTGCTTCTCTTCATTCTTAATGGCTATACTTTTCATCTTGTGTATTTGGGTAGGCCAATCAACTAAGCAGTGGGGCCCAACCTTTTGGGTACTGGTTCTGTGGAGAGAGGTTTTCCTGCGGACTGGAGGAGGCATGGTTTTGTGTGCTGCCTGCATCCCACAGATGTGGCTTCACTTATTTGGGCAGCCCAGTTTCTGGCATGCTGCTGACTGGTCCATGGATTGTGGGTTGGGGATTCCTGTATTAAAGTGTTTTCAGACTGTCAAACACTTTTCTGAAAAACGTTTTGTTTGAGCAGAATGTCAGTGAACAAAGAGTGCACGACAGCTTAATTGCCAAATTTCTTTATTCAGATCACAAGTATTTCAAAGTCATTTGTTTGTTTTTTCTGTTAAATAATCTTCCTGACGATACTCTTTATTTGTGCTGGAAATCTACTGGAGCTCAAATTTCTCCCCCAAATTCCTGTCTTCACCATTTATTCAGGGTACATCCTAACCTTAATTTAAATCCAAATCCACTAATTAACAGTCCCTTTCTAATGAATTTAGTTTAGATAATGATTCAAGAAACATCCTTGTTCGACATGACAATAGTTTGTGGTGGTTCATTCTGGAAATAATATTTTCTCCAAGACAATACATGCACATTTGTGGGATATTGGATCCACATTTGGCACTTATCTCCAGTGTCCTCCCCATCCGCACCCCTAAATGGGTGAAAATACCTTGGGGAGCCTGGGAGTCAGAGCGATCTCTATTGTATTACAGTGTAGATGCAGCTGCCCTTAAAGAAGGCTTGTAAATTCCAGCTGATGCAAAAGGCTACCAATGAGGGCTTAAATACATAGGGAGACAATGCTATATCCTTGGACTAAGCCCATCTTTCCAGCTCTTCATATGATTCAATGGTCTTTCCTGAGTTCTTTAATGGCAAAAGTAATTATCACCATTCAGAATTTAGGAGCAGACTTGTTTTCTGGTTGACTGTATCTTGGGTTCCTGTCAATGTATTCTTGTTGGGATCTATAATTCCCATTATTTAATTGTGCCAGGATCAAACAGTGACTTATTGAAGGAGCCCATAAAGATAAATAATACCCATTCTTGATAAAGGAAACATTTCCATTGTAATTTCATCCATATCTAAATTGTCTATAAGTTTAGTTTTTTCATTGGAACTATCAATTACTGAGAGCTGTCAAGTTTTTGGAATTCATTACTCTAGAAGTACATATACCATGAGGTTTAGGCTTATATTTTTCCTTTACATAGATTTAATTTTCAGACTGGTAAATTTGGAACAAGGAGCCTTTGAGCATACACAGAGTAAATTTCCACCATTTATCATATCCATTATGAGTGGTGAGTATTCGGGTCAGATATCATGATATTCTTGATACCTTTCAACTTAGAATTTGTTTTACATCTACAAAATTAACAGATGGACATATTATGCTTTCTGGATACACAATTATATCATAACAGTAAGTTGCCAACAGCATTTGTGGTTATTACCTCAGAAATCTGACATGGGCAATTGCATCATGTTTCATTGAAATTTATTGCTTTGTTGTTGCTGAAAAGTGCCAAAGCAGTTGCAAAGTTAAAAATCCAAGGAATTCACTATTATCTTTATAACCTGGGAGGCAAAGCGGTATACATGGTGCTTTCCTCTCCAACGTTATCCTCACAACAACCTTATGAGGAGGATTACACTGAGGGATAAACAAGGCACAAAGGTGCTTATTGACCTTCATAGTGGAGCGGAGGTGAAACTAGGGGTTTTCTTGTCCAGCATTTTTTCAGTAGCCCCATGTTGAAACACTAATTTAAAAATTGCAAATAAGTATTGACACAAATATGAATCTCAAGTCTGCTTAAAACCAAGCAGTTCAGCAGCCACATGTTGAATCTTACTTTTTCTCTTTAATTCTGTTTTTCCCCCCAAAAGAACTGGAGAAATCAACCATCATAGAGAATGGAGAAATCCGTATCAATGGAAAAGGGAAGAAAATACGGAAACCACGCACCATTTATTCTAGCCTTCAGCTCCAGGCCCTCAACCAGCGATTCCAACAAACCCAATATCTGGCATTACCTGAACGGGCAGAATTAGCAGCACAGCTGGGCCTGACCCAAACACAGGTGAGATTCTCTATTGATTTATACCTTCCACTTCTTGCCCATCAATCCCTGCTTTCTGAGAGCGATAAACTCCACAACAGCCCTGTAAAATTGATTAGAATAAAGATGATGAATTGCTTAAATCTAGCTCTTTCCATCTTGTACAAGGGTATCAAACTCATGACCTGCAGGCTGGATGCATCACACACACCCCTTTTAGCAAGGGGGGCGGGGAAAGTTGCAATACATCATATAATGACATGTCATAACGAGTTTGACACCCCTGATCCAGCAGATGAAACTAAGTTGCCGAGTGGTTTTCAACCTTGGCATTTTTTAAGATGTGTAGACTTCAACTCTTAGAATTCCCCAGCCGTTCATACTGGAAAATTTTATGCTGGCTGGGGAATTCTGGGAATTAAAGTCCACATATTTTAAAGTTCTCAAGGTTGAGAAACATCAATCTAGAAGCCACTGGGAGGTATATTTAATATTGAAAAACTGGTGGATAGGAAAGAGATTTTTATCCTGTATTGTCTTCTGATTTGTAGTGTTCTAACTGAACTTCAGCTCCCAATGGCCCATGTCCCTGTTGGCCATGCTACTAGGCCAATGTTTCTCAACCTTGGCAACTTGAAGATGTCTGGACTTCAACTCCCAGAATTCCCCAGCCAGCATTTGCTGGCTGGGGAATTCTGGGAGTTGAAGTCCAGACATCTTCAAGTTGCCAAGGTTGAGAAACACTCTACTAGGCCTTCTGAGAATTGTACTTTTCTCAATCTGCTTGCATGTTAACCCACATGAGTAATTGACTTATAAAGGGATTATGGCTAATGTTTTTCACATTCAGAACAATGTATTATTATAATTGTGGTTGCAATCTTTCTTTCCCCACTTTAAAGCCAAGTACTAATGCTATTATTGTGTTGAGTACCTTACAGCCCCCTATTTCTTACTGAGCTGTACCATATTAACATCATTAATTAACCTGATGTTGCAGAAGGACTCTTGTATATCAATTTCAGAAATTCTGGCTTTCCAAGGGTATTGTATACTTTCTCCAGACTTCTTTTGTTCTTCCCAACTATTTTATGTCTTCACAACTGACCTGGGAGATAGATTAAGATGGCCCCAAATCAACCAGTAACCTTGTCAACTGAGCAAGATTTTAAATCTCTGATCCCTTCCCTGGTGACTTAATTGTTGCACCATGGCTTTTAAAGTATGATCTTTGAGGAAAGAAAGTTTACTTTCTTGGGACACTACAAAGACAAAATAAGTAATGAAATAAGTATCACAATAAGTAATACATAGAACAGTGTGTTTGCATCAAATTGAAACACTGCAATAACTTATCATTTCTGCTGATAACATTGTTGGATAGTGGATAAATTGCAATCAGAAAATTTTGGGAAACTCAGATGTACACCCCCTAAAAAAACCACCTTAGGAAATAAGTTTAAATGTGGGGGAAGGAAACTTCCAATCATCTGGATGAAGACTGAATCTGGGCATGGTGGATATAAAATATGAACTGATTGATAAAAGAAAGAAATATGGCATTATAGGAGATGTTAGGTACCAGAGATAGATGGAAATTGAGTCATTACAATATTTCATATAGACATCAACATTTCATAGCAGATTCTATGGATACAAAGTAATAAGTTGATAATAATTGCAGCATTTAATGTGTTAGAATCAATTCCCAGAGGATGCTGCATTCTGTCTTAATAAGATAGGTGATATGTAAGGATGGACATACGAGTTATGAGAATAGGGGAGGTTGTCACTGAAAACATGGCTTGGAAAGACCTGGAAATCTTCCAAGATTCAGTGCTGTCAAAAGTCCCTCACACACAACTGCCTCTTTGACAGATGGCTAAGCCACTTAAAGAGATAATTTGAGACAGATGAATGGCACAGATGAGATCCTAGCCAGAGGAACTTAAAAACTTTTTTAAGTGTACCATTCAAGGAAAATGGTAGAATCTATGTGCTTTTGGAAGGCAGGATGGCACAAAACTAAAGCTGTGAATTGTTATAAATAAATGTTCTTTTTCCAGATAGAGCATTTACAAATCTACTATTGATATATCAAAAAGTGGAACTTGCTTGGTCTTCTTCTACTTATTTGTCCCTTGGAATGCAGAAAGAAACCAAACAGCCAATCATCTTTTCCCAAGAGACTCCTCGGGTTATGAGTGTTCTCGAAGAGATCATCTTAGCTTCTGGATGGGTGTGTGATAGATATTTCACAATGCAGTCCTAGTTTTTAGAAATGGTGCCACACAAAGCAAGGCTCTGTCTCACTTTCATGTGAAACAATGTTGTGCACCTACAGAAATAGATTATTCTGCTGTACATTTACATTTTTTAAATCCATCAAATAGTTACATGGACATTAAGACCATTCTTGATTTGTTCCTAAATGGAGTACCAGCATGGGATCATAATCATTTTTTTTGTCATATTCCAATGCTTTCTTCTCACTGCCAGAACATATGTGAATGAGGCTTAAACTACAGTTAGTTACACTCTCACACTAAAGAAATACCCCCCCTCCAAACCACAATACCCCCCCTTCAAACCACAACACTGCCAAGATCAATGTCAGGTAAATTAAAATTTGTTAGACTTTGTTTATAAGTTGAACTTGAAACAAAACTAGCTAGAGATCAACAGAGGGGATAGCAAATTTTACTTCCCTTTAGTTTAGGGCCAACAAAACGATGTGTGTATATATCAGCAGTTTAAAACTTGCACTTGCATGAAATTTCTCTTTTTGAGCCACAAATGATAGGCACTTGTTTTCTCTAAATAAGCAAGCCTTGCCATATCTCATTAATACATTATGGGTAGTGCCTATTTCTAATCTAGTTTTTATTTAGTTAGTTCAGAACTTGACAACTTTTAAGATGTGTGGACTTCAACTCCCAGAATTCCTCAAACAACACGCTGGGAGTTAAAGTCCGCACGTCTTAATATTCTGGGATTAATTCCAGTTTAATTGTTTAATTATGTATAATTATATATAAAATTGCTTTTTAAACTTTGCTAATTATTTTGAGGATATTTTTCTACATGAAAGGCTTAAAGTAATGTTTTTAGTAGATTAACTATCGTTTCTAGGTGCACCACTGTTAAGCAACCTTCTACTCCTCTCCGAATCTTCACTGAAATCAAACTCTCAATTTGATTAGAGTTTATGGGGAATCCAGCTCCTGGATGCAGTGTTTCTCAACTGTTTCCCTGAAGCTGGCTGGAGAATTTTGAGAGTTGAAGCTAAGATTGAGACACAAGCCTATTTTTAAAATGTGTATTCTGGCCCATATAGTATATTTGCCTATTCTTAAAAGGATTCCCAATATTTTGGTTAAGATGTAGCTTAAATGCAGTTTAAGGCAAATAAGTTTCTCTTTTCTGCTTTTAAGGAGCTATGTAATGATTACTTGATCACACTAACACACTTGTTTTTTTTTTTTAGAAATTGTGACTTGTCAGCTCAGTGCACTTGTTCAATAAAAGTCCGGGATAAACTTTTTAAAAAAAATGAGAGCTGGAGGTGGTTTCAGGGAGGTTTCTCTTCTCCTGGGCTGAATGCATATCTTCTTTGTCCGGAAAATTTCCTTCTGGGCACACAGGCTTTGCTGGTTTCTGAAGCAGTACAAAAGCTTTCAAAACCTGTTTTCTGGGGACAAAAATGGGATGTGTTTACACTGTAAGCAGCAAATCCTTGTTTAGACTACCTTTTTTGGAGTGTGAATGAAGGAAATCTGTATCACAGCGAACATGTTTTTGATGATGTTAGACTTTCTTCTATTGCTGAAGTGTGCAGGGTTGTTGCTTGGGTAGTTCAAACGGGATTTGCTCACATATATATTGATGTGTTTATTCTCATTGTGTTTCTTTGTCATTGTTCATTTTATTCTATTTTACTTTTGTTTGCATGTCTTTTCATTTTTTCTTCCTATTATTGCAAGCCATCTAGAGTGGCCTAACAGCGAGATAGGCAGTAAATGTAATAAACAAACAAACAAACAAACAGGAGGGAATCTAAGAGGCCAATGAATGCTGTTTGAGCATGCTCAGTAGCCATAGCCTAGTTTGATCTTTCTTGGGGGGGATGGGGGACAGAAAACTATGAGGGAGATTGAATTATCAAAATTCTGATTGGTTGCACTAGGATCTGCAACATTATGCTTTAGCCCCATTGGTTCTAACTAAAAGCATATCTAAACATTCTATAACACTATTAGTGTGGGTCAGTGTTTTTTCAAACCTGGCCATTGTATGTTTTATGGACTTCAATTGCCAGAATTCCACAGTCAGAATCCTGGTTGGGGAATTCTGGGAGTTGAAGTTCACACATCTTAATCTGGCCAATTTTGAAAACAGCATTGTGAGATTGAACATACCAAGGATTCGTATGCTAATAATAGGCTGGACCTTGGTTTAGCTACACACCACTTATTTAATAATGATTTGCTGTGATGGCGGAAACAACTCCTGGCCTTTTTAATACCAGTCTTTCAAATTATTGGGAATTGCTCAGGTAGCTTTAGCTAGAAATGCTGAGACTTGAACCTAGGATCTTCTGTTGGCAAAGCACATGCTCTTTATCACTAGTCTCTGGCTGAATATCAAGCAGAGCTTTTTTTTTTTTTTAGATTAAAGCTAATCTATCAGATCACAATTTAATACATTTTAAGAATATTCCCTTCCTTGTAACTCTAGCTCCTCTCCCCCCCACTCCAACCTTCAGTGATAATTCTGTTTAGGAGGCAGCCTTTCCCTTTTGCTGGTTCATAGGTGAAGGAAGCATGATCATACAGGGAACAGACACGTTAAAAGAAAGAAATAGGTAAAATCCCAGAGAGGGAAATGCAGGGTAAGCTGAAGGAAGAAAGCACATTAAAAATGATAAAAGATTGACATTGTATCCCTTTCCCTAAAAACTCAGTCCTTGCTTTTGACCCCTTCTCCAGAATGCTTAACTTTCAGCAGATCCAGCCCAAAAGATATTTTTCTTGCTCTCTTTTTTCAGAAAGTTGTAGACTTGCTATCTTGATTCTAAAGTCTTCTTCTTCTGTATTTTCTTTCTGCATTTTAAGTTCTTATCTGATGCAATGCATGGCACTCGAGCCAAATCTGCAAACTAATCAAAAAAGGTAGCGTCCCCGTACCGACGAGGGCTGCGGCGAGTGGGTGGGATCTCTTGCTTCAGACGCCTGTAGTTTTCCTTTTCCTCAACATGCCCTGAAGACCAGACTTTACACTTTGCCCTCCTTCAATCTTTCCACAAGTGCCTTTGTGCAATCGGCTTTGGAGGTGGAGGGAAGATGGGGAGGGGAGGAGCCCTGCTTGAAGCAACCAGCTAGGCCCAGGGTTAGGCTTCAACAGGGAGCCCGAGAAAGACATGTGAGAGCAGGCTGCCTGAGAAACGTTTAAAATCGTGCTGCTCTTGGCAAGATCCCTGGGAAACGGGGGTGGGGGTGTTTGCTTGTTTTCCATTTTACAGATGAGGGGAATTAAGGAAGAAGGAAAGAGATAAGACCACTACTTGAAAGTAGCAGGAGCTACTCAACAGTCAACTTTTTGCCATAAGGGTGATTTATATTTGTATGTATGTGTATAAAGACATGCCATCTTTTAATTCCAGCATTCAAGGATGGTAGCAAACAATAAAATGCAGAGTACAAAAATAATTCAGAGGCAGTAATGAAAATCAGTGCAAGCCTTAATTATTAATTACAAGTCAGGCAAAAAAAACGTGTTTTGGCCACATTTCCAAAGGAAAGAGCAATGGGTGATAAATGCAACTCCTATGGGACTGTATTACATACTTTGGGAATGATGCAGGCGAAGGTGTTTCTACTTTGTGCCATAGGGATTTCATCTTCCAGTGTAGACATTGTCAAAGGGGGCATGTCTACTCTTTGTAATGCCCAAACAGATTTGTAGCAAAAGCAATGGGCATTCAGACAATCTGAATTTAAGCAATTTAGTGCCTTTTCCAATATTTTGTATTATTTTATATATAAAAGCTATTACTTCGGGAAAAGGCTGGAACTGTATATCCAAAGGCCTGTATTATACAGTATGTAATGCAGCTCCACTGTGTGAGCTGATTTCCTCTGTACTTTGCATTTTGGCAACACTTAACAAATTCATGTCAGATTTAACAGTGACCATCACTTTATAAAGACATCCATGTAGGCCTAGTTCCAAGGTTGCCTGAAATTTAGATGAACAAAATCTTGAAAAGATGAAAGTTCAATGACTTCAAACTTTTATTAGAAACAGAACTAATAGAATTAAAATCACTCTTCAGAAACTTTTAAAAAAGTATCTCTTTAATCTAAGAACATGAAATTTTCCTCCTTTTAGTATTTCCAAATTATCCAACAGCATTCATTTGTTATTTTCAAATGCCTCAGTATTCATGAATTTTAAGGATCTTGGAACAAGGATCATCTTACAAGAACCAATGAGGAAAAAAATATAGAATTCTTCAATCTAAATAACAAATTTAGATTGTTATTTAGATTGTTATTCTGCTCAAATAACTATGAGTAGAAACATTAGGTAGGGAGAAAATAAAAGCCATTAAAAGTAGAAAAATGTAGATGCAAGAAGTTCTGGATTAAACTCCTCCAAATTTTACTGTAGCTGTTCATACATTCTCTGCTTGCACCCATTTTCTCTTAACCCAGGTCAAGATTTGGTTCCAGAACAAACGTTCCAAATTCAAAAAGATTATGAAGCAGGGCTCCAGCATCCAAGAAGATAATTTACATAGCTCTTCATCTCTGTCCCCATGTTCACCCAACATACCTCCTCTTTGGGACATCCCCATGGCATGCAAAGGACCTCCTCTGCCTTCTAACACCTACATCAACAGCTTTGGACCTTGGTACCAACAGCCACAACACCAAGATGCCATGGGAAGGCCTCCAGTCATATGACAAAGACAAAAATTGGAATGTCAGACCATCTCATGTGCCCTTTTCTGTAAACCTCTGACCAGCTTTCCTGGTATAGGGTGGAGTTAATGGCTTCTTTGAAGGAATTTCCAGACCTTTTCCCTTGACAAGAAGCCCTCTAGCTGGAGATGACTGCCAATATAGACTTCCCTTCTCTGATCCAGGGCCATATCTAACAATGGTGACAGAATATGTGATGTAGAGATTGGGAAAGCGCCCCAGATTCCCTTGATTGCAAGTCAGGAGCCGCTGAGAAGAACCTCTTCAGTGGAAATTTATGAAAACAGTGCCTGTGTTATGGTTCCAAAGATAAGCTCATGAGTAATGTGGCCCTACATAGCATATTGTATAGTTGTATTAGGAATTTTTTTTTGCCATGAGTTTTGTTTACTTCTGTCAAGATTTCTGTGCCTTAAACAGTTTTGATAACAGATATAAATGAAATTGGTGTAAGCTTTTTTCCCTAATGTAGAGCTTCAGGCAGGGGTGAAAAGATTTCATCTTTTGTATCTCTGTCCATTATGCAGCTAGATAAAGGCATAGAAGCATTTATTCTATTTTTATGGCAATCTTAGTATAGAAGAACAGAATTCTATTTCAGAAAGGTATTAGAAAAATGGACTACTGAATTGGGTAAAAATTCACAAATGAAAGTCTATGCAAGGGGCAAGGAATCCGAGTTTTTCTGTCCCCACTGGACTCCATCTCCTATCAGCATGTCTGATGATAAAAGAGGATGGGTTTTGAAGTCCAACAGCTTATGGTACAGCTCCATACCCTTTTGAACAGTGGCACATGATTTGGGAAGTAAAATGCTGGTTATTCTGGAGATTTCTTCTCATGGGATTAAATTGGCAAGAAATATAGTATAACCCATCAAATTGTGTTCAATATTTTCCCACCTACAAAATAAATTACAGTTGTAGGTAGTGAATGACTATAAATATCCCCCAACTTACAAACATCAGTAAGTAGGTTTTGAAAATACTCAAAACATCATAAAGCCAATTTCTTAAAGATTATGTTTTAAGAAACCAAGAATTGTGTTTACAATTGACAAAAGGTTTATGGAATGTAATCCCCATAGTTGCCTAATGAAGTTTTTTTTGGGGGAAAACATATTTGTTTCAACCACTGTATGAAGTCCTCCCCATTTGAATAACTTTACCTGAATAATTTTAATTTTAGGTATCCTCCCCAATGCTTTGCCAAGCAGAATGACAAATGTTTTATTTATTGAAACAAAACCTTTGGTATATTGTATTGGTTTCTCTTTATAAACAGAATGTAAAACTATAAATATTTTCCTTTTTTTTTTGTACACATAAATTTGTTATGCCTTTTCTTTATTTGGCTTGCAAAGTGTGAAGCTTAGGTTAAACCAGAGATAGCGATAAAGGATCTTCATGCTAATTCCTGCAAACTTAATTCATGGGTGCAAATAACACCTTGAGAAGCATTGGTCTCTAGCAGAACATACAAGAATTTGGTAACAAAAAACTCTGTGGAAGTTCACACATATGCAACCATTCTTGTTTGCTTGCTTGATCCAGAATTTTTGCTGGACTAGAGTGAATGCCTAAAACATTACAAGAGAACAAACTGATTTAGACTAGGATTCAACTATTCAGAATCCGTTGGCTTTCCTGTAGCTCTACATCCCTTCCTTAACAATTCAAGATTCACTCTGGGATTGAATGGGATGAGTTGTCTGAGACAATGAAATCCATTCCTTCCCATTCCAGGATCATCCCTCTTCTGAGGCAGAATGATTTAATTAATCATGAAAGGGAAGCAAAACATTAGTAATGTAATTTGTGCTATTTTTATTGCCTTCAAAGGACACAGAGACAACTTCTGATATTTTCTGTTGGGAACCAAAAATGAATTGGATTACTTCACTTTGTGTTTTGTCTTAGGAGAGGTATCATTGTTGCAGGCGACAAATGCCCAATATTTACTGCTCCTTAAGGAGAGTTATTCCCCCCCACACACACATCTAAGCCAAAGAGCATGAATATCCAAAGTCAACCAAATTATTTGGGCACGTGGAGAAGAGAATCTCACAAGCTCATCTTTTCATCTCTAATGGGAAAGTTAAAAAGTAAATATCTATTAACTGTCTTGCTCTCTCCCTGTATGGCAGTTGACCACTACTCTCCAGGGTAGGTATCCAGGCTTATCATAATTGGGCAGATGTCAAAAAATTCAGTTCAGAGTTTAACATTAATTCCTGCAGTACGGTTTCTTTTTCCTTTTAAATTTTCTGCCTACTGATCCACCTTTCTCCAAATGAATAACAAGGCTGATGGAAGAGCAATAAACTGCCATTTCCAAATCTTCTATTGTTGGATATGAATAAGATACCACATCTCCACTCCACTCTTCATGTTGAAAAGTTAGCCAAATTTGTAAGTTGCATTTTCTTTTAGCCTAGAAATTTGCAGGACAAGCAACACAATCCACAAAATTACCCCATCACTCACATTCCATCTCATTAGCACTAAGATCACTTCTGTCTTAAGATACTTGAGTGTCTGGGTTTTGGTGGATCTTTCTATCACTTCTCACAAACAAGGTGCTTTAAGGAAGCAAGTGTTCCTATTGAAAAGGGGTCAAAATAGGAAGCTGTTTCTTTTATATAATTGCCTTTTGATAGACTTTTCTGGATCTCATTATAGGATGGCTACTCTTAACTCCTTTGTTTTAGGTCTCTAGACTTTCACCCATAGTTACTGAAAACAAGCCACACAATTTCTCACTATTTTAAGAAACCTTAAAATCAGAGATCCAGGTTTCTAGAAAATTAGGAACCAGAAAGTTTCCTATGCAAATAAATATGATTCTGCTGAGCCTATCTTTGCAGTATTCATAGTCTGCACATATATTTTGGCTAGGTTATCTGATATGAGAAATAAGTCTAGCCTATTTTATGATGTTTCACTGGTACATTCAAAGAGACTGAAATATTTGTTATGAGGGGGAAATGTTTTTACTGGAATATTGGAAACAATACGGGCAACAGTCAATCAGCAATAAAACATCTCCCCATTTGGAAACTGCCAACCCTGCCTGAGGTGGAAAATTTTGAAAATTTGGGGTGTCCATGGGGTAGAATTGGGGGTGGGGGTGGTGTTTCAAACAAAAAAAAATCAAGATGGCACCTGTGAATTTAAAGCTCCACCTCCTTTATATATTACATATATGATCTGTGTTAAAAAAAGTAGGTTGTTTTTTTTGCGTTCTTTGACTTCCCTGTTCCTCCCCAAGAAAAAGAAAACAATTTGTCCATGCCATTTTACATCATCAATTCTCTCCTGCTTATCAAAATTTGCCCACTGATGATGTTAAGTGGCAGTTATTTTTCATTGCTGATGATATTTTTCCCCAGATTTCTAGATTCTTCTGTAAGCTTCAAGAGATTGGAGAACCATAGTCAAAAATATATAGCTCCATGTGCATTGTCAGTTTTTGACATTATTCAGAGGAAGATATTATTTGGAGCCCACAATTCAAACTGAGATCATCAGTATCATAACCAGACACTGACAAATATTCCCTCTTGAAAATAACAATTTATAGTGATCCAATAGTATAATGTCAAGGAATTAACACATCTAGCACACATCTACCCATTTTACAGATGGAAGCTTCTGAAACTAATGGCCATTCTACACTTGTACCTAGCAGAAACTATTGGATGGTGAGGTGGTAAATAAATAAATAGAGTTCAAACTGTCCTTGCAACATTTTTTAAGTGTCCTTTTATTTATTTATTTAGTGTCCCTGTGATGCCATTCTCCCCTTTGAAGGAAAGTTAATTAACTATAGTGACTTGGAATAGAGGCAACTGAGGCAGGATAGGCATCAAATCAGTTCAAATATTTATTTTAATCACTGAATGGCATAAGAGTAGGGATTTACAATAGGGACTTCTCTTTCATGCTGATTCAAAGATATACGGATTAGTATATATGAACTCAACAATAGGGGGAAGAAGACTTTCAAGCAAGGGCTGTTTTTGACTCTGCTGCTGAGGAGGGAAAATCTGTGATTTGCCTCCAGAAATACAAGCGGGCTCCAGACATCTACATGTCAAATCTTGCACATGCACATTATGATCAGGAAATGAAGTTCATGGGAAACAGCATTCTAACATATCGAATTCAGACATACAAGCTACAAAATGGGACAACCAGATGAAAAACAAGAGAACTAGATTACAAACAAAAACAGTGGACCCACCCCAGCCTGTAGTGGTTGTTCCTGGCTCAGCAGAAGTCAGTGTTGCACAAGGGGTTCTTTTACCTGGACATATACCTCAGGTCAGGTGCTGGGTAAGTGTGGGATGAGAGACCTGGCCAGAAAGAAAACTCTGGAAATACTTACTGCCACAAAGTGGAGGAGCTGCTCTACCTTGACAATACATTTATTTTCAGCACATCTTTTGTCAATATTATTGTCCTCCTTCCTCCTCTTCTTCAAAGGCAATTTCTTGTAGTTGTTATCAATTATGGTGACAGCCCACAAGTGCAGTTGAGGAAGGGAAGGAGAAGGAAAGAAGGGAGGGAAGGAGGGAGGAAGGAAGGAAGGAAGGAAGGAAGGAAGGAAAGAGGTCTTCCTCCAGAGCCTCATAAATTGGTAAGTCTTTTCCCATACAGGTAGACCTCACCTTAAGACAACATTTAAGCTCAAAATTTCTATTGCTAAGTGACAAATTTGATAAGTCAGTTGGGCCCATTTTAGAGTCTTTCTTGCCATAACTGTGAAGTGAACCACTGCAGTTGTTAGTAATATAGTTGTGAATCTAGCTTCCCCATTGACTTTGCTTATCAGGAAGTCACAAAAGGGAATCACATGATCCCAGGACACTGCAAGTGTCATAAATATGAATCAGTTACCGAGCCTCTGAGTTTTGATCGTGTGACCATGAGGATGCTGCAATGATCGTAAGTGTGAAAACCGGTCATAAATCACTTTTT